GTAGCCAATTTCGCCATGAGGAAACCGTTTAAAGTTCTTAATGATGAACTAGGCAGTAGAAGGTACGTATCTTTGATCCCTTAGTCCAGGGAAACATGGGTCCTTTTATATATTGTTGTACTCACCCCAGAGGGTGAGTCGCTCACCCTTTGAAGGGTGAGCAAATCACCCCCGAAGGTGAGTGCTGGTTGATGAACTTATATTGATATAATGTTGATTCTATTTCTGACTTGAAGAGTTATATTCTACAGGAGCGAGTTCCATTATAGTTATCTATCTGTTCCCAAGCCATGCCATAAGGTTCAGCCACCGCAATACCTAACATCTTAAAAGACGGGGAGAAGGGGCAGCGTTCCACCTTTTACAGTAAGCCGCCGAGATCTGTGGTGGACAGATCTGCCAAGCTTCGATCTGCCGACGGGCCGGACCGAGAGTTATTCCGTGATCAGTGCGCTTCCTGCACGTGCGCGCTTGCGCGACTGAGTGAGAAGGGGTGAGTCGCTCACCTTGTTAGGGTGAGCGACTCACCCCTGGGAACCTTGAATACCCACAATTTGGCCTTCTGAGGTCGGGGATTGGCGCGTGCCTTGAAACGCCGGTTCTGCCAAAATCTTGCTGCCTAGCTCAGGTCCCCACAAATACGGATTGTCAATTGGTCGAATGTATTTCAAATATGAAGGCGTGACAGGAAGTCGTTGTCGGAGCATACGGACGTCCCCTTCCGCCTGCCCTGGGGTTCGACCTCGCTTAGTCATCACTTAGTAAGCAGTTACCTTAGATAACTAGTTAGTTGGCCGTACCGGCCACCCAATAGGACAACCATCCATCGCTTCCCACAGTAGTCCACAGGTCGCGATGACACGATAGATTTTTATGAATTTCGGGGGAGAGCTTGCGATGGACGAGTGGAAGACTCAGTAACATTGGGGTGGTCGGCAGACCAGACAGGCCGCACAAATGTATCCAGACGACCGTCTGGGTCTTGCACCTGCCGTAGACGCCGGTTGGCGGTTCTCCGTCTGTGGTGGTCGTAGGACCGCGGTCTGACGACCGACCTGGTCGGGAGCGCAGGGTCTAGCCTGCTGGGTGCTACCTCTCAGGGCGTATGCGCTCCATCTTACCGCCCGGGTCATCAGCGTCGGGATCAACCATCCCAGCGCTCGGTTCCCGTCCATCCGACCCTCCTGGTGTTCATACCGCAAGCCTCAGCCAGTCCTCGACCTAGACCCCCGCGCGGATCTCCTACAAACCCTTCAGACCAAGTCGGTCGTGGGCCTATCGAATCTAGTTCTCCAATACACTAAGCACCTATCTAAGCACATTCAAGGTTGGAGATCGAGTGGAAACCTGCCAGCTTCTCCTGAAGCATGGTGCTAAGGCTCTTTGGACTGGTCCTGATGGCAGGAACCTAGCACATCTCGCAGTTTGCCACCACAAAATGGACCCTGGCGTTTTGGAAGCCTTGTCCGACTATGGCCTTGATCTCTCAATGAAGGACAATGGCGGGAAAGGCATCGTACACCATGGGGCCATTAGTGGATCACTAAGCTTGGAGATTGCAACATTCCTCCATGAGCGAAATCTACTAGATCTGCATGCCACAGACTACAGTGGAAAACTCCCCTTAATTAAGCATTGAAGGAAGCTAATAAAGAGAGTCGGGTCAAGGGAAGGACTAGCGTCAGAGGGATGACAGGCGTCAATGGGAGGACTCGCGTCAAAGGCGTGACGGTCCAACCCGTCGCAGGCAGAACAAGCGGGAACAGGCGAGCACCCATTCTGCAACAATCAAGGGTGGCACGAATTCCGAGGGAGAGCGCGCGGCGAACAATGATACGGTGGGATTAATTAAGCAAAGGATCTTTTTTTTGGTCATCTGGGAACATTTTGCCAGGACGGCTCCTGCATAATCTTTGAAAACGCAGGATTGATCGGAGGATCATAGCCTGGATCGAGTCCTTCCTCTGCGAACCGTAGCACGACCCTCAAGCTGCAGGAATTCACGGCCCTATTGGCGCCGATCCAAACCGGCATCCCACAAGGATTGCCAGGTTCGCCAATCCTCTACCTACAACACAGACCTGATTAAGGCATGCAAGACACAGGATACAGAGGCAGTCGGATAAATTAACAATGTGTCTACGCTTGCAGTTGGGCTGACGGCACAGCGGAACTGCAAGACCTTGAAAAAGATCCACTAGAGAGCCGAACAATGGGCAGTCAAACACGGTTCCTATTTTTCACCAGTAAAATATGAACTGGTCCATTGCACTAGAGACCCTAAAAAGAACAGCACACATGCTCTCCGCCTGCCGCACGCCACTATTAAGGCCTCCGCGTCATGCCGCTATCTAGGAATCCAGATGGACACCAAGCTTCGCTGGGACTACCACCGCGAGAAGGTAGAAGCGGGAGCAACGAAGCGACTGTCGGCTCTGTCAGCACTCGCTTCCTTAACATGGGGCACAGGGGCCACCAATCTCCAGCATGTATACCGTGCAATGGTCGTGCCCCAGATGCTTTATGGCTGTTCGGCATGGCACATCCCTGGAAACAGCTACACAAGCAGAGGATACGCTATGACGAGTACTATCCAGAGGATTCAGAGACGTGCAGCTCAGATCATCACAGGGGCCTTTTGGACAACGGCCGGTGCAGCAGTTGACGTTGAATCTCATCTACTCCCGGTGCAACAGCAACTCGAGCAAACCGCGTTGGAAGCCACGATGCGCATTAGAACGACACCACGCCGGGCACCTTCTATGATTCAGGTTTCTTCAGCGCAAGTCACGTGTATCCATCCAAGCTTGCGGCGACATGAATTATGACCAAGATGCGCAGCGGAATCATGCGAGCACCACCACTCCTGTGGCTTCCTCTTATCCCGGATCGTTCACGTCCCGGTGCCCGATTCCGACTCTAGTTTGCAGCGAGCTAGCTAAGGTGCTTACTATATATGCGATACGGAAACATCTGGTTTAAGCATATATGGGATCGCGCGGGCTCTGAGCAGCGTTCTTGACCCGGTCTAAATCTTGGTGGTAAGCCAACACGTCCTGCAGCATGCTGTCAAACCCCTCGTCAAGGTAGTTATGCCCGGCGAAGAACTCGGTGCACATCATTAGCGGGATCGGAGTCAAGGGGTGGACCTACTCTGTTAGTCACGAAGAGGTATGTGAGGGGCTTGGTCGTACCTTGAAATAGCCAAGTTGACGCTGAAGCTTGACCAGATTCACCACTTCGTGTGCCGCCATCACACAGAGTCTCTCATACTCGATGATGCGGAGGAGGTGGTCGCCGGTTTTCCAAGTGATTGACTCGAGCACGCTATGCAGAAACAAAACCAGTGTCTGTGCGACTATACGCGCAAACATGAGCATCGGGTCAACTTGCGGCGACGTTGAGAGCAGCTGAATGCGGTAGTTGAGCATGTCGTGCAGCCACTGGTGCCGGGACCAGAAGCCCTCGAAAACAGCCATGTCTCCACTGACGCTTATTTGCTCGACCGCTACTTTCTGTCGGTGTGCAAGAGCTCGGCCGCAAATTGTCGCAAGGACGATGCACTCACTAAAGGAGGAAATCGGAAGAACGTTGTCGGTATTTCGCCTTGCCATCACCTCCGACAAGTACTGCGTTACCGCCGGGTGGCCTGCCTGGAATTCCTCCTCCGGAACGGGAAGTCGTGTCGCAATCTGGAAACGTTAGTCATGTCTCTTGATTCGTGCGTGGTGTCGTACTAAATGTTCGTTCAAGGTAAACGGCAGCCCGTTGTGAAAGCTTATGAACCTGTCCATGGAGTACGCCATCCAGAATGTGCGCCTGCGCTCCTCCAGACCCGTCCAGTCAATCAGGCTCGTCTCCTGGTCTCGTGAAACCATTACCGGATTATTAGGATCGTCGAGCTCGTACAGCCTCATCCCTAGCACAAGGCGGCAACAGCGACCGGCGCTCATCCAAGCTTGCAGCGGCGAGAGCTGCATGTACTCGTAGACGCAGATCAGGACCCACGCCTGCGCCTGTTCGATGCTTCCGTTTGGATCCGCCCGCTGGGTCTGCGAGTCCAGTGCGTCTAGCATGCGTCTTGTCTCCTGGTAGAGTGATTCTCGAAGGGAGCGGAACTGTGCCGAGAGGGGTGCTGCGACTGTCCACATGGCGTATTGCAGGCACTTTTGGCCCTCACTCTTCTTGTGCTGTTTCGACCAGATGTGGTATCGCCATCGCTGCAGTATCGGAGCAAAGGGATGCACGCGATCGAAATACAGTTGGTCGCTGTTACTTAGCGCGGATGGTCTCTATGGTGAGGAAAGGTACTTACAGGTCAGCTCGTGTCAGCTCCGAAACAAGTCCCGACCGTGGTGAACCTGGCGATCGAGGTGATTTGGTGCCCGTCCTGCGGTCCTCTGTTGCTGCCGTGCCTTCTCTGTACCCATTGAGCTCCCGCAGATGATCCTCTTCCGACTCGCAGTCAAGTTCCGGATCGTCTAGCAGGGCGGTCATCTGCTGGTTGATCTCGGGATGCTGGTCGGCCAGACAGCGCTCGAGGGCGGCTACTCGCTCAGCTAATGTCCTTGACGACTTCGAGAAGACAAACCTACCGATGCGAGTTCGCAAGGTCCGGAGTTGACCCTTGCGTGGCCCTCGAGGGAGCCTGGTTGTGCTGATCTTGCATTCAAGGCCGCTCTCGTAGCAGACCTGACACTGCGGTCGTTGCCGGTCGCATCTCACCTTGCGTCTGCGACATTCCTCGCAAGCAGACCCCGGCCGTTGACGGGAAGAGTGTGCAGGCGACGTGGAGGGCGACAGCTCTGTCTTCATTGCGAATGCGTCTGTGTCTTTGCGAGATGATGCGTCGATGTCGTGTCGGTTTCCATGCACCAGAGTTATCGAGGACCCTGGAGTCTGCAGACGCAACGCTGTGCTTCTTGAAAGGAGAATTAAGTAATTGTGGCAGAGCGGGACGATAAGCTTGAAGAATTGCAATAATAATTGCTTTTGTCAGGTTGCTTTTCCGTCTTCCTTCAGCAGGAAAAATGGCAGAAACAAGAGACACTGCGACAAACTAAGCTCATCGACGAAGAAACAATATTTACCAACGGACCAATCCTCGACGGCCAACCTGGAACTGAGGAGATGACGCAGAAAGTGAAAAAGAAAAGAGATCACTGGGGGCGAGCGAAGAGGCAGCGAGTGTGATAGTGGTCCACGACTGCAGGATGCAGGGTGAGTGGCAACCAGCAACACCATCGTCGAGGTGATCTCGCGAACGGGTTCCTGCCGGATTCGAGATACACAGCGTGCTACTGGATCAGGCAAGAGCTGATCAGACCCGACCCATGCGCCATGCGCCCTCAAGGTTGAGAGGGAGTTCCAGCTGCACGGTCGCCGCACCGGACGATGTCGGTGTGTGGCGCTATTGAGATTTGGCCTAACTACGACACGATTCAAATTGCGATGGATTTACTTTGGAGGCGCCCAAACATGCAACACACTGGGGTCGCAGAGTCACGGCTTCAGAATCAGGTGGAATCTGGCAAGCGCGATTCATTCGCGAGCTCGGGTCGGTGAGGGCTCAGCCAGCCACCATGGCCGGTTGGAATCTCACTGGCTCACTGGAGCTCTCAGTTGCTATCGAAGATCGACCGCTGTCGCGCTGCGGGCCTGTCAATCTTCTGCAGAGAAAAAGGTCTAGTCGTCCTGAAGTCCCGAGAGGCAGCATCTGACGCAGACGGCTGAATCCTGAAGACTGAAGGACCTGCCGTCCACGAGTTCGACTGGTTGGACGGCAGGAAAAGAGTCCCGAACTACGGGACCCCTCTTATAATACAAAGAACTGACTATCATTTTGCAGGAGTTTCCGAAATTGCGGTTGCCAAACTTTGAAGTTTGAAACTACGGTCGAATTGCGCGATCGGGTTCATCTCAGCTCTGGGCCTGTCGCATTGCCGGCGGTGCTGTCTGATCTGGAGAAAACGACGCACAAATTCAGAAGCAAACACGACACTGAGACAAGGATGGCGTTAATGATCGACGGCCCAAGCTCTTACTCCTCTCAGTTAGTGGCTCTAAGACCGTGGCAGGATCCGAGCTTTGCGGCGCTTTGCTAGTGGATCGACCAGAGGCCCAATCGTGGCCCAGGGTGGACGATCCGATTGACCATGCAGCGCCGATCGGGATCGCATCCTGTGCTCGGATCTTATTCTACTCATTGTCACGGAGTTTTTCTCCCTTTCCTTGTGACTTGACAGAGGGTTAAGTGCTGACGATCAGATGACTTGCAGGTTCGCAGGCTTCGGGGTCAGGTGTGCTGTGCTCAAGCCTCGGGTGTCGAGAGCTCAGAATTCAGCGACAAAGAGAGATGTTTTTGTTTTCATTTTTCGTCCTGCAGATTGGTCGTGACCCAAGTGGGCTGGATTGATCTCTAGGTGAGGTCAGCTGATTACGGCTCCCCGGCATATATTTTTCCGGAAAATGGCCCCCAATGGGCAAAAGGATCAACAGAGGGCATGGGGAGCCGCCAGGGTTAGACCTGGGAGGAGCCATGCTTTCCAGGAAGGAGACAACGGAGACATAAATAAGTACTATGTATATAGTCGACTGTTGCCCACACGGGGCAACAGTCCCCGCATAGCCATGGGTTTTGATTGACTGGGACGGGGTATGAATAAATCCGAATCCGAATCCGAATGGTACTGGAACCGTCTCCACTCCACTCATGGAGCCCGCCAATCCCGCTACCTAGACTGGCCTTGTTTCGCCAGTGGTCCCATCGCAGTGCGAAAGTCGTCTCGCGTGGTGAACTACATCCTGGGGACAGGGACTGATAGTGGGCTCCCTGATTGTGATGATCGCGGTCACTGTGGAACATTCTCTTCAATCCAGCATATTATTTGCTTATAGCACAACGATAGTATAATTCTAGAGCGCTCTATTAATGAAACCCCTTTGTGCATAATCTGTTGACTGATGCAGAAAATATTGGTCCTCGTGAGGGGCTTCTCTGATAAGCTCTTCCATGGGCCCAATGGTCTTCAGTGCCTTGACTGAAACCCTCCATAGCAAGCGTGGCTGTGATGCATCCGACTCGCTAAACAGCTCCCAGTGAAGCCGAACATTAGCGAGATCACCAATCCGCGAAACTCGCATCTGATTTAGGGTCCCAGTGACCTGAGAATAATCCAGCCAGAGATTTTCTCGGGGACCAGGGATCCCCCACTTCGGCTCGAACTCTGGAGTAAATCGGATTGTCCCCGAAAACGCCCCAAGAAAGTCATCTTCAAGCACTGGAATGAGAGAACGCACAGAAAGGGCTTGGTCATTATCACTGGGTGCAAGAAGCATGAAGATAGACTTGTCTCTTTCGTCTTGCAAAATTGACCTGCCGCCGAATGCAACACC